AGCAGCGAGAACAGACAGTGGTGCAATAACTGACGTGCCCTTATCTGTGCCAGCGGGGTCTCGGTCACAGCCTGCCGGTCACATTTCCAAATAAGGCTTCGTTCTCCTGCAAACTAACCAGCGAGAGGGGAAATGCCCTTTAGCTTTGCTTTGCACAGTGTTGGGTCTTTTTATGCTTTTACTCAGCGTAGGCCTTGATCCTGTAGTGGGCTCAGCGGGCCACATTCATGGGATCGGGGCCCTAGATTGTGAGATCGTCAGGGACTGTGGCCCAGACCCTCAAAGGTATTTAGGAACCTAACTCCCACTGAAACCCATCTTTCCCTGCTTCAGTCCAAGCATAATGCCCGGTAGTGTGAACACAGGCACTGCCACGTTGGCTCAGCCCCCAGATCCAGCTAGTTACGGGCCCCATCTCCGACAGTGTTCAGAGCCAGGTGCCAGAACCCCCTAGTGACAAGTCTGGAATAACCTGCCTCAGTCAGAGGTTGGCTCGGGGCTCGATGCAGGAGGAGCTCTGTCAAATCCTGCCAGGCGTCACTGGGGCCGTGCTCGTTGCCTGGAGAAGAGTCTCCGATCGGTTCAGAAGTCCTGCGAAGCTCTCCACCTCCGTGGTGGCTAGCGGCAGTGAGCACGCAGCCCTGATCCGCCTGGCGTGACGAGAGCTTTCCTGACGGGTCTGAGGTGGCGAATGTTCCTTGTTCTTCCGTTCCGAGGGAGTGTCCACAGCAGCACCTGATCTGCCACCTCTTTGCCCTTCATTACTTCATACCCTCAGCCCTGTCTCCTCTTACTCCCGCTCCAGGTGAACTCTCCTGACTGTTCCAGTCTCTCTCTCCATGGAGAAATCTCTTCTTCCACTAATCGCGTTGGCTCTTTCTCTCTGTTCTCTGCCATGCGATGCACGCGGTGTCCGGGTGCGGCTGCCCTCCTGGTTTAGACAATGGTACAAGAGAATTCCCCATAATTATCCCCCTCCCGTTCCTTATACAGCTGAACGGCTTGGTTGCCTTTTTGACCACAGCTGTGCACTGAGCAGAGGTCTGCATTGCACGGTCTACAGTACTGCCCAGGTCCCTTTCGTGAGTCGATACAGTTCATTTAGACCAGGGGTCTCAAACATGTGGCCCGCGGGCCGCATGCGGGCCGCATGCGGCCCACAGGGCTATTTCCTGCGGCCCGCCAAGCGGCCCGCGCTCCCCCCCGGCCTACCTTCAGGCCAGGGGTGGGCAAACTACACCCGCGGGATTGCCCCCCTCGAGGCCCGCGCCGCTCCCTGAAGCGGCTGGCATCACGTCCCTGCGGCCGGGGGGAGGGGAGGGAGCAGAGGGCTCCGTGTGTTGCCCTGGTTTCCAGGCACCCCCTCCCACCCCCGCAGCTCCCATTGGCTGGGAACGGGGAACCGCGGCCAATGGGAGCTTTGGGGGAGGTACCTGGAGGAGCGGTAAGCAGCGCGCAGAGCCCTGCGTCCCCCCTCCCCCAGGGGCCACAGGGACATGGTTCCAGCTGCTTCCCAGAGCGGAGCGGAGCGGAGCTGGGGCAGGCAGGGAAGCAGGCAGCCTGCCCTGGCTCCGGTGTGCGCCACTGCCACCCCGGAGTCCGAAGCCCTCCTGCACTCTGCCCTCCAACTCCCTGCTCAGAGCCCCCTGCCTGCACCCCACATCCCTCCTGCCCTCGAGCTCCC